ACGAATAACCCCATACGGTATTTCAAAAAAAATGATGATTAAATTTGGGTCTTTGTCTTTGCTTAGGATTAGAAGTTGGTTCTGTATATTTCATATTCTAGTATAAGGCAGTTCTAATGTGTACACTTATTACAAGAAAAACATTTGGATCGTCCATGGCGGGATTGTTACGGTTGCTGACTTACGGTTGCTGACTTACGGTTGTTGGCTTCGAATCCCGACAAGGACATGGGATTCTTTCATGTGAATAAGCATCCAGCTTGCTTAAGGAACGCCGACGGTTCTTCTCAGGTGCCTTTTCGTGCCTGGAATAATGCCTGGAAAGAAAAATGCTAATGTGTATTTCGAACAGAATCTCAATATTATAGTTTTTCGTTTTTGTTTTTATCTATTTATTTATTTTTTGTTTTTTTCGTTTCTTTTTTTTTCTTTGGTTGTTTTTCCCCGTAGTCATACATTGGAATACGTTATTAACTGCTGCTTTGTAATCAATGCCATGCCATGAATGACATGATGTTTAAATGGAACCAGTATAGAATAATCTCACAGAGTTTCGTATATGGTTAATAACATTTGACTTTTCTTAAATATCTATTTTAAAAGAATATTTTTGATCCCCTAAACATGTACAAAATTTCTCATACAATAAATTTTGAAACATGACATTTTTTTGTCTTAACTTGCTTTTGCGTAAACTGCAGAAATACTGGCGTAAACGTAAACTGATAACCGAAATTTTTAGGCAGTACAACAAAAGCCCCTGTACTATAAATCATGTTTTTTTGTAAAAAGCAAATAATTAAAAAAGACAAAAAAACTGCTATTTTTCCGAAAATAAATTATACCTTAAAAATGAATTAAACTTTTTACAACAATGAAAGAAGGAAATTGAACTGTGAATGCATTATTTTTTAATTTTTTCTTTTCAGAATGAATTAATACTTCCTGCATTTAATTTAAATACAGGTATTGTATAGTAAAGCATTCGATGTTTTTGAAAACAAATTCCCACTCTTTTCTTTGCATCAATAATTTCTTTTTTATTTACGTACTAACAGACTTACAGACTAACTTACTTTACTTTACTTTACTTTTACTTTACTTTACTTTACTTTACTTTACTTTACTTTACTTTACTTTACTTTTACTTTATTTTACTTTACTTTATTTTACTTTACTTTACTTTACTTTACTTTACTTTACTTCACTTGTTATAGAAAGTATAATTTACCATATGTGCTGGTACAACTCACATCAATATCAATGTCATAAATAACACCATTCTTTTTTGCATGGATAGAACTTTTATGATAACAACCTTTTCTTATTCACTTAATGGTTCTGTTGTCCAATATGCGATTATGACGTTTGTGGCCATCTTACGTGATAATTGTCTTTTCCAATGCTTCGTGTACATACTGAATATTATGTTGTAAGTAGCTTTCTGAGGCTTTGTATTTTGCTACGAGCAGTTTCGGAAAAAAACATGATACTTCGCTAGTGCCTGCAATAATGCACGGAGGGCACCTGAGATCTTCCTCCAGCCGTGAAGCTACAAAGTCTTCATATCTCTACTCTACGTAAAATCCAACCAAAACAAAAACTAAAAAACTTTCAATTGTTTTCAGATTAGTTATGGAAGTTTAATCTCAATTCTAAATAACATATGAATGAAGAATTGCGTTTCAACATCCAATGTTTATTACATGAAATCAGCAGTGATAGCATTCATAACCTAAATAAAAAATAAAGCGGTCCGAAAAAAAAAACAAATTTCAAAAACGCCTCCCTTTTCTCAAGTGGGCAATAATGGCAAGGTTGATACTTCTTTTTGATTTTGCTATTTAAAGTGTATAAAACTATTTCTATTCATTTAAATTACCAATTACCAAATATCGTCTCTTATTTTTTTGTTTATTTTTTACAGTCTGAAAAATACAAAATGCAAAACTGCTCTTGATGACATTTGGGAATATTTATTTTATGCTTTTCAGTGGATTACTGATTTATCCGTGAAAATTATATTTGATAATTTCACAGTGAAAATTATCAAAATATAATTTCACACTTTTACAGTGGGAATACTGTTTTAAAAACCCACTCGATGAAATAAAATTTCATCTTACACACAAACAAACAAATATCCTCTATTTATTTGCTGAAAAAAATCATTGATTGAATTTTAAAAGCAAAAACTTTCAAAATGTTTGTATGAAAGGGCTAGGTTCACGAAACATGTGAATTGGCCCAGCAAATTAGTAAAATATAAAGATTGCAATAAAACAAAACTAATAACATTTCTCGCAGGCATGATACTTATTCATTCTAAACATGGTCTAAAATTTTATTTAAATTCATTTCTGGAAGGAGTAAAATACAAAATAAAAACACCTATGTCGAATATTTCACGTGTTTTCGTCATTTTCGCCATATCTTTCAACGGAAAAAAATATGAAGGCATTTTCCCGACACTTAGATATTTCACACATACTTTACTTTAATATCAACTAATTGGCACACAAAATTTCAAGGTGTCGAAATAGTGCCTTCATTCTTAATTTTTATGTAATATACTTAGCAGATGGTCAAAGTTACGAGTGACTCGGGGTCGAATTACAAGCTTTTGTTTGCAGGCTTTCCTTTCATTAATTGATTGCTATTGTATTTGTAAATTTTATTTGAATAAAATAAAATAAATGACAGTGGCTAGAACTAACATGCATTAATGATATTTTCATGAATCTTGAAGTTTGACAATTGAATTCCGTGTAAACTTGTTATGCGTTAGAAGTGTAGTCTACACGATGCAAGGGGCGCTACTCTTAATGACAGTTCATCGTTATAAACAACGTGCACATTTTCATTGTTACGCAGCAATTTGTTGAATTACTTGACATACGTAAACATGTAAAGGTATGTTGAACATATTCTTTATAAAATTCATGTTTCTTTTTCGTTCGCTGTGCCATTTTAATTTGATTTTCTTCATTAAAAGTGTTGTGGTACTCGCGGACCTTGGTACGAGACCAAGAAGAATTGGTTGAGGGATCTAGCCAAGGAACTAGACAGCCTCCAGTTTCATTCTAGGGAGTGGATTTCTAAGAATGTTTACTACTTGAGCACCTACAAGCGGCCAGAGTCCAAAGTACATGCAAGTGGTAGAAGTAGGGATATTAGAATGAAGACCGATCCTAATATTCAACGTACGGGGGAGCATTTAGAAGAAGATAAATTGCTAGGTGTGGGGGAGGCCGACATGGAGATAGAGTCTGTTTCATCTGAAGGTGCAGAGAAACTCTTGGGAGCTAGCCCATCGGAATCTGTCATGTTGGGGAAGCCAATAAGCCCCGTGCGTCCTCGTATTCGAGAGAAAGCCGAGCCCAGTGGTGGTGAAAGGGTAGTGGAAAGGGTATCGAGGCCCGTAGCCACAGTATCAAGTCACCAACCTGTTCGAAGCCCATGGCTTGAGGGTTCAAGTTCATGGACCGGGTCTCATGGGAGACGCCAAAGAGCTGCGGATAGTTCAAGAAGTAGGGACAGCACCGCGAAAAAAGCCTAAGTTGATTTTGGTTTCGGCCCATGCGATGTCCAGTTAGACGGTGTGATGCAGAAGTAAGCAGGAAACATGCCTTTAAGTTTCATGTTCCGGGGATATTTAGCCCTATATTGTCCGGGGATTCTGTTTCACAAAGAAGATTGAGTGCTCTTAAGCTGTGTACTAGATGGCTTCTGGGAGTTCACAAGGGTCTTGAGGACCTTGTGAAGCTACTCGAGTCCTTGTCTCCTGTGACCAGGAAAGAGGAGCCCGATGAAGAGACAAAAACAGCCATGGTAGACTTCTGCAACGTTTTAGGAGAAGAAACTCCCGAGTACATGACCCTTAGGCCGAGAGGTAACGGTGTTACGGTTCTGGTTCACTGGCGCTTCATGTTGGTTTTGGTGTCCATGTTGGAACAACATCAACGGGAAGATCTCCATCAACTGTATGACCTTTCAGAGGAGGATAAGGAGCAGATCCCAAGGCTTCCAGATGCATTTGACAGCCATTGTCATCTTGACCGAACAATGAAGGTATGGGAAGTGAAAACGGAATCTCTGGAAGAGATTAATAGCTGTAGCCCACTGGAGGAACACGAAGTCCGTCTTGTGGGTGTAGTTGCGTCATTCTGTGACCCCGAAACCTACCCGACTCCGGAAAGCATGAGAAATTGGTGTGCTCAAGGGGTTATTCCCGTGGTGGGTATCCATCCAAAGAAGTCCATTGACGAGAAGAGTTTGTCAAAATTGCAGTCTCTTCTAGAGTTGCCGGAAGTAGTGGGACTCGGAGAGATTGGACTGGATAGGAAGGCACCGGCAATCACGTGGGCAGAGCAGATGTTGAAGTTGGAGGCCGTGTTGAATTTGTTGAAGAAAGAACACATTCTGGTGTTGCATTGTAGAAGCCTTACGGAATTGGGAGATGAAGCCATTCACACTCTGCTCTTGTTACTGAAATGTCATCAGTCTGTCATCAAGGAACAGCTGATCCACTTTCATTGTTTTACTGGGTCCCTATCGATGCTTAAGAAGTGGCTAGAAGTTTTCCCCAATACATACATTGGGTTCACCGTCTTGAGCTGCCGGTCTATGGATCACAAGGAGACGGTAATGGGAGTAGAATCTTCTCGACTTCTCCTGGAGACCGATGCTCCGTATTTTAGCCCTCCAAAATGTGACAATTCAACCCCAAGTATGATCGGATGGGTGGCGTCGCGTTTAGCCGAGGCCAGGGGTACAACTTGGAAGGAATTGATCGAATTGGCATCTTTCAACACGCGAAGACTGTATATTGAAAAGAAGCCACCACTTTCGGGGGACAGCTCTGATTAAGCCAAAGGTGCTTAATTATGGATCTATGGTTATAGGCCCCGAAACATCTTAAAGTTAAATGTTTCATGGGTATAGGACCTAGGATCGTCAATATTTGGTTACTGGTAATTTAGACCATTTATCACAGACACAAAGGAGGGGGTATCGTAACTTATAGTGCTTTTTGAAGAGGCAAGGAGTTGCAATACCAGTACTGGTTGGAACCAGGAAAGTCGTCTCAGAAATAAGAGCCTGATTGGCTAAGTCGTCAGTGTGGGCCAACACCTTCAAATAGGACGGGGAGGAGTGTGGTACTCGCGGACCTTGGTACGAGATAGGTCGAGTACGAAAGAATATGTTCCATAGCCCTTGATTGGTCGTTACTGTGGGCGGCGAAGGGCCGCAAGGTATTCTGGGAGATTCCTCTAGAAGCAGCCATTGGTGCTACACGAATATTGTCTAGGCGAAACTAATCCGTACAATCAACAGAGTGTTTTGGTGTATCCACAACAGAAATACAGACATACAGATAGGTAAGTCCTTTAACTATCATACTGAAGGTTCTACAGTGTTGATCTGCTTGCACTTGCAGACGATAAGCCTAATTCTCGTCCGTTAAATATGACTTGGGATAAAACCACGAAATAATGTTATACAGTCGGAATAGATATTTGTGATCAATAACAATCTATGAAATACATTATCGGCTGTAAAATAAATTATGGGTGAATTAATTTCAACAAAACACGGTAGAATAATGATATAGTTATAATTATCTTCCTCAGGTTATCGAAAGTCTTCATGGCGCAGTGGTTGTAACGATGGCGTAACGTGTGAAAGGATCAGAGTTCGAAACCTAGATGGAGGTACAATTTTTTTTTTTTTCCTTTTTTTTTTTTTTTTTTTTTTTAATTGTTGTCATACTAGATTTAATATTTCAAAGCTCCTATTCAAATAATATTTTCATAATTTCTACAAGAGAAATAGTGTTGATAAACTGGTAACCAAAGAAATACTAGATCTACTTGTAACAGTTGCATCAATTATTTTTAACTTATCTTTTTTATTGATAATGGAGAAATTTTAAACATAGATCTCTTTCATTAAACTAGATGTGTCAATTGAATCTGAATTTATTTAATTTAATTCTATAATGTTTATATTCTATTCTAGGATGGCTCCAACTCCATGCGTTTTGTGTGGGAAAAGACTAAAAGATACATCAAAGGAGGCCTGTGAATCCATATCTTATCCGGTATCTCAGAAAAACGTTCATGCTTGAAACTTCAAAAATCTGACTACATATGTGGAAAATGTAGCCGACCGGCATATCCATCTCAGCATAACCAAAGACCCATAATATCTGCATGTCCTGTTCCTGTCACAGCAGAAAAGAATGATATTCAACATTGCCAAGTCCACCATCGGTTTCTTTGAGCTTAAAAAACAATTTCAAAAAGTCATTCATACTGTTTTATTTTGTAAGAAAGTAGGATCTAAATTAATTGTTGTTCCATCACAAAACTTTAGAAACAGAAACACTTGTGAAGCAATAATATCCTTATAACAAGGCTGACACTAGGTGTTGCCCTGACTCACCTGAATAATAATCGTAATGGTTCCCCAAAAGCAAATGTTTTAGGATTAACGTAAAAACATTAGAGTCTGTTTTTATTAAACCGGACTACAATTGTGGAATGTTTATAAATAATGTCAGAAAAGTGGTATACTTAATTCATCGTCCTAATAGAATGTCATTTGACAATATTGATACATTTTCAAATGAAAGATTTGTGAATCTTACAGGTTTGGGAACAAAGAACAGTTCTCCTCAGATTTATGCTCTAATTACTGAGAACCCATGTTAAGGGAAAATACGCCAGTTAAGAAGCAACATTACTACAGCTGGGTATTTTTCTATTTTAAACTTAAGTCTGGATTGGGTCAAAACCAAAATTCTTTCCCACACTTTTTAATGTATCTAAATCAAGCATAAGAAGAGCCAGTACATACAATCAGAAAAGTGCTTGTTTCTGAACTTGTTCCTAAATATCTTGGCTTCCAGCACATATCAAGAGAAGAAAATTATAAAAAGCCATACTCGTTCCCTATCACAGTCACTACTTGCAGAAAATGCCAGCCAAGCTATAATTGTTTTTAGACGGAACATACATATATATTAGAAAAAGTACAAACTTCAAATTCCAAAGACGTTCTTATAGTGTACATAAAGGGCGGCCACTTGTTAAACCTATGGTAATAGTCAGCACTACTGGATACTTTTATTTCTGTATTAGGACCATATCTTGCAGATTCTAAAAATAGTGATTCAGGAATCTTAAACCATGCAGTAAGGAATAACATAGAGGAAATCAAAAATTGGGTTTCAGCCAAATGATATATTTGTTGTTGACCGTGGATTTCGTGACTCCCTGCAAGTGCTTTGAGGAGATGGGAATAAAAGCACAAATGCCAAAGTTCATGCCGAAGGGTGCCAAACAATTAACAACCATGGACGCTAACCACAGTCGGTTCGTAACAAAGGTATATATGATTTATCATTTACCACATTATTTTCTTAAATGAACTTAAAGGGACTCCACTGAGGTTTTTTGACATGATGGGACTGAAAATATTTTTTTCCAGATAAATGTACCATTTGATGTAGGTGTAGACCACGAATCTTTGTGAAAACTTTCAGATGATTTGCACACTTAGTTTTTCCATAATAATGATTCAATTGTAAAAAAAATGACCCAAAATGAAAAGCGTTTTAAACGCTTTTCACTCAAAATTAGACTAAGAAAAGGATAAAACTACGATTTTTGATTTATTTTAAAGTATATTTCTTAACTATCTTTGCATACATTTCAGTTTAAAGCGCCCCAGTTTATTTATGTAAAAATTCTAATGTTATGTTTTTAGGCTTTTAAACCTCAGTGGAGTCCCTTTACTGTCAAAGTCTGATCATTGAATTTTGCTTATATTTTCTTTAATTATTTTATCTTAGATTATATTATCGGAAAAACTATTTATACTTGAACAAAAACAAGTGTGACTAGACAGACATTTAAAAAAAAATGGAAGACCTTTTTTTTCTTTTTTTTTAGATTTGTTTTAACTGTTTGTTTTGCCATTAGAAAAAGTAAAAAAGTCGAGCGTTTGCCCCACTCTGCGGTGGCTCTTTTTATGATATCCAACTTTCTTTAAAATTAATACACCAATTCAATCGATTTTTCAATTCTTTATCACATATGTGTTTTCTAAATAATTGATATATTATTTTGTTTTTTTCAGGTCCAGATGGGTAGTTGAAAGCATCAAATGCTCGAATAAAGAGATGGAAGTATCTTGACCATGTATTGCCTACCAATCAAGTTCCGTTCATTGGTGATTATGTGTCCGCATAATTTGTGCCCACATGTAACAAATACCTTTCACCTCTAAATGCAACCAAAGATTTTGATGGATGACACACTTTGTAGGAGAGAGAAATGAGAGATAAAATTCCAGAATGTTAACCATTTAACAATCGTATGTTTCAAGAAAATGAACTATATAAGCGAAATATTTCAAAATGGCAAGCAGTGCAAGAAATTGACAATTTTCCCCTCTATAGATGATTTTACTCTTAGTCTTTTGACTCTTGGTACCTACCAAATGAAACTTTGCCAATCAATATGCACCAAGAGTACCTTGATGGAAATTGTGATATTTTTGGTGTATAAAGAAATCAAAAGACTTGTTTGAGAGTAAGACTTTCAAAGTCGTCATGTATCTTCCAAGTCTTATTTTTGTTTGGATTCAGTATGATTCAGACCCTGTCAAGGCTTTGGTACTGCCAGTGCAAGGCTGGTGCACGGACAGTTGGAACATGTTCACATGTGGCTGCGGTGATTTGGTATCTAGGCACATCTAGGAGGCAGCAGTCTGACAGGTACGGAGTCCAAGACTGGACTCAATACCTTGATGATGCTGCAGAGATGCCGCAGCCAATAGATTCATCCGACTCTGAAGACAGTATTATAGAGGAATAATAAGTAAAGGGAATCATACCAGTAATATTGTCAGACTTATTATTTATATACATAACATTTGTAGAAGTGATGTATCCAATGATTGTTTCATTTAATTAAGTCTGCAAGTGAAAGGTAATGAAGATAAAAGGCACTGTTACTTCATTACTCATAAATGAACATGTATGTTTTTTTGTTGCCATTTTATGAATCATTTTTGTGATCTGCATATTTTCATTTTAAAGACTGATTCATGTAATCATAGATGTGCAGACTTCCTCTTTTTGTGTCGCCTTGAAAAGGCAACATATAGGGGTTACTTTTTATCGGCGGCGTCGGTGTCGTTGTCGGTGTCCCCTAAAGCTTGTCCGGAGCATAAGTCAGTCATTATAAGTTTGATTGACTTCAAACTTGGTATGCATGCTTCTTATAATAACTCTAAAGTGCAGTGCACAAGGACCGGTACTCTGCACTTCTTATTTTTTTGAGCTATTGCCCTTTGTTAATTTTCATACTTTATTTTTGTCGTGGCCATTTCTCCTAAACTATATTGTTCACAAGGCGACACATCCGACTCGCGGAGTTCTAGTTTAAGTGATAATGCCCATATAGTACATTGTATGGTACCCAGAAATTCCTGTAAGTTTCAAACATATTAAAAGAATGATGAACAAATAAAGTTATAAAAAGGAATATGTGATGATCATTTATAACATGCAATTATATTTATTGTACAAGTAACTATAAAGGGAATTATGTATTTATCCTTTTTTAAATTTTGTATATTCAAAGCAGATTTATCGATATGAAACTTATTATCTAAAACTTTTTAGAATGGTTGCTATGGAGATTATGATTGAATTTCAATTCAAAACATACTTATTTATGTTAATATACATGTAGTTTTTTTTGTACACTACATAAACTGTTGCTAAGCTATGATTGTTAATAGTGGTTGCTAGAGAGATTATGATTGAATTTCAATTCAAAACATAATTATTTATGTTAATATACATGTAGTTTCTGTACACTACCTAAACTGTTGTTAAGCTAAGATTGTTAATAGTTGTTGCTATGGAGATTATAATTGAATTTCAATTCAAAATATAATTATTGATGCTAATATACATGTAGTGTTTCTGTACACTACATAAACTGGTGTTAAGCTAAGATTGTTAATAGTTGTTGCTAGAGAGATTATAATTGAATTTCAATTCAAAATATAATTATTGATGCTAATATACATGTAGTGTTTCTGTACACTACATAAACTGTTTGTTAAGCTAAGATTGTTAATAGTTGTTGCTAGAGAGATTATAATTGAATTTCAATTCAAAACATAATTATTGATGCTAATATACATGTAGTGTTTCTGTACACTACATAAACTGTTGTTAAGCTAAGATTGTTAATAGTTGTTGCTAGAGAGATTATAATTGAATTTCAATTCAAAACATAATTATTTATGTTAATATACATGAAGTTTCTGTACACTACATAAACTGTTGTAACAGTTTTCAATATATGATACCATTTAGCTAAGAATATTTATA